CTTCCTTCCTTCCTTCCTTCCTTCCTTCCTTCCTTCCTCCCTTCTTCCCTCCTTCCCTCCTTCCTTTCTCCCTTCATCCTTCCTTCCTTCCCTCCCTTCCATGTTGAGACTGCCAGTTATCTTGCAATATCTATTCCAGCTTCTCTCACTGCTGGGTAAACAGCTGTCCAGAATAATGACTACATTTCCCAGCCTCCCTAGCACCTAGGTATGCACAGGAGAGCAATCCCGAGATTGTGGGCAAGAAAGTGCTATACATACAACTCCCAGGTCATGTTGTTGAAGGAAAGAGGTCATCCCTTCCTGTTACCATGTGGGCTGGAACATGAATGTGATGCACCAGCTTGGGCCACGTGTACAAAGACACAATATCTATAATCCTCACTGCTCGAGAGACTGAGATCTGAGAGTCGTGGTTCAAAAGAGCTCAAGCAGGAAAGTCCTCTAAGAGATTCTTATCCCCAATTAACCACCAAATAGCCAGAAGTGGAGCTATAGCTGGGTAGAGCGCCAGCCTTGAGCAAAAAGGCTAAAGGATTGCACCTAGGCCCTGATTTCAAGGCCCAGTACTGGCACACACACACACACACACACACACACACACACCCCATACCACACCACACACACATCACACACGCACATACACATACGCTCAGTGGTAGAGCGCTTGCCTTGCATGCTTGAGGCCCTGGATTCGATTCCTCAGCACCACAGGAGCAGAAGAAAAAAAAAACAGAAGTGGCGCTGTGGCTCAAGTGGTAGAGCGCTAGTTGTGAGCTGAAGAGCTGAGGGACAGCGCCCAGGCCCAGAGTTCAGGCCCCACAAGCAGACCCCCCCAAAAAAAGACTAGGGTTGAGGGCAACTTCGAAAAACAGTCATTTTATCAGTTCTAACTATTAGAAAAAGAATAAACTTGTATTTTGCTACAACTACTGGGTTTTTAGAGGATGTTTGATACATTCAGTCTAAGTACATCTTTTTTTTTTTTTTTGTCGGTCATGGGGCTTGAACTCTGGGCCTGGGCGCTGTCCCTCAGTTCTTCAGCTCAAGGCGAGTGCTCTACCACTTGAGCTACAGCGCCACTTCCGGTTTTCTGGTGGTTTATTGGAGATAGGAGTCTCACTGTCTCTCCTGCCCGGGCTGGCTTTGAACCGTGATCCTCAGATCTCAGCCTCCTGAGTAGCTAGGATTACAGGCATGAGCTACCAGCGCCCGGCTTCTAAGTACATCTTAATAAATATATTCTTCTGGCTGGGGGCTGGAGGTAGGGGGAAAGCAATGAACTGAAGGATTAGAAGGAACAAGGAAGTACTGGGGTTTGAGCCCATGGCTTTATCTTTGCTAGGAAGGGACTCTCCTGCTTGAGCTATACCTTCAGTCTGGTTATTTTTGAGATAGGGTCATGTTTTTATTCCTGAGCACATACCTGGCGCATGAGCCTTCTATTTACACCTCCCATGGTGGCTGGAATGACAGGCATAGGCCACCATACCCAGCTGCAGGTTGAGATGGGATCTTTTGAACCTTTTCCCCTGGGCTGGTCTTGAACCTCAACCCTCCCAACCTCTGCCTCCTGCGCAGCTAGAATTACAGGTCTGAGCCACCAGCACCTAGCTCTTTGAGTATTCTGACTGCACTTGTGTTTCTGGGGTCTAATGCACAAATTAGTAAGAATACAGAATGGATAAATAGTTCATGGGAAACAGAGCATTGACGAGATTATTGTTATGACCCCTTACAGTAGGGAAACATGGTTTCGTCAGTTCCACGAGCTCTCGTTCTCAGACACAGCATACTTCTCAGACCACAGTGATGAGAATTTATTTCCTATCTTTATTTGGCTGGTTCCCATGCCCCTGCGCTGGGTATCTTGCTCTGATTTTTTTTTTCTCTGCACATCTTTTCCTCCTCATGGCTTGGACCTACTGATAAATGAAGTCCTGGCTTCTAGGCGCAGCTTAGGAAAGGGTTGCTAGTCAGGTTGAGGGGCTCCAGGATCTGAACTGGACTTACTGGAAAACCACCCTTATAGCAGAGGACTAAGAGTGGCAGTGTACGGACAGTGGGAAGAGAAGGAAATCGGTTTTGCTGTTGTTGTTGTCGTTTGCCCGTCCTGGGGTTTGAACTCAGGGCCTAGGTGCTCTCCCTGAGCCTTTTTGTGCCCAAGGCTAGAGCTCTACCACTTGAGCCACAGTGCCACTTTTGGCTTTTTCTGAGTAGTTTACTGGAGGTGTCTCATGTACTTTCTTGCCTGCCTCAGCTTCCTGGGTAGCTAGGATGACAGGTATGAGTCACTGGCACCCAGCAAAGAAGAAAACAATTTTTGAAAAGGAAGAATCAGTAGGGATTGGTTGGCTGAATCAATATAGGACGTGTCAGAAGGAAGGAAAATAAAAGACAGACTTCCTCCATGGTGGGTGATTGAGGAAGAAGGAAGTAGAATTTTTTTAAGCTCAGGCAACCATCCCAAGTTTACCTCTATGTAAATGACCCGGATTAGACTTTTGGAGTTGTCAGATCAGAGGACAACAGCCTAATGACACCTGAACTCTGGATGGCCTTCTCGGGTCCACAGGCCAGGTACAGTGAGATGGTTTGCTTTATTCTGTTGCTGCTGGCACCTGTTTCCCTCTGCCAAGGGAAACATTGCTGCAGTAATACTTTTACTCCACTCTTGGCTGTTGGGGGCTGGAGGTGGACCCAGGACCCAACTGGAATTATTTCTTTATTCCTGACCACAATAATTAGGCCAGGGTGTATAACCCAGTCAGTGCCAGTGGGATCTGCTTAGAAGATACTTTCTATTTCGTGTGTGTGTGTGTGTGTGTGTGTGTGTGTGTGTGTGTGTGTGTGTGTGTGTACCAATCCTGGGGCTTGAACTCTGAACCTGGGCACTGCCCCTGAGCTTTTCTGCTCAAGGCTAGTGCTCTACCACTTGAACCATGCATCTACTTCTGGCTTTTTTTGGTGGTGGAAAATTGACAATAAGAGTCTCATACACTTTTCTGCCCAGGCTGGCTTCAAACCTCGATCCTCAGATCTCAGCCTCTGAAGTAGCTAGGATTACAGGTATGAGCCGCTGCGTCACACACTTTCTTTCTTTCTTTTTTTCATTAGTGAGTTCGAACTCAAGGCCTCATACTTGCTAGGCAGGCCCTCTACCACCTGAACCATACTCTGCTCCTTGCTCCCCTCCCCATTCCTGCTAAACTTAGAGTTAGAAAGTTTACTCCTAAAGCTGTCAATAAGTCACCAGTGGGGAAGGTTTGCCTAAGAGTGATGTCAGCAAGGAAAAACAAAGCCAAGGGATACACTGGAAGAAGGACCAAACGCTGGTGGCATTTTTAAACACCTGCTTGCAGCCATACCTGAAGCCGGATGACCCCAGGAAACTTGAGTCAATTCATTTTCTTTTTGACTTAAGTCAGAGCTGGATTTCTGGTATTGGTCAGTGAAAGAGAATAACTCTGAACATAAATTTTGCAAGCAAGAACACTTATACAACTTGTCTGTAGTGCTATGGAGATCAATGTTATGTTTTATAGCAAATTTTGGGGTTTTTTTGCAGCATGGATTTGAATTAACAGGTTTACGCTCTAGACTTTCCATGGCTACCACAGCCTACTTTCTTACAACAAACAAGCTATGTGATGGCTAGTTGAAAAACATGTATTTATACCAGTTCAAGAGAAATGAGTCTGTCAAAAGTTAACAAGAGGCCAAGCATGGTATTGCATGTTGTAATCCCAGCTACTCAGGAAGCCGAGATCAGGAAGACTGTAGTTTAATACCAGCCTCAGCAAAAAGCTAGTAAGAAGCCCATCTCAACAAACAAGCCAGGCATGATGCTGTGCAGCTATGATCCCACTAAGGAAGCCATAGGGAAGAGGATCTTGGTCCTGGCTGGCCCAAGCAAAACCAGGAGACCTTCTGTGTAAAATAACTAAAGCTAAAAGGTGTTGGGAGTATGGTTCAGGTGGTAGAGGGCCTGCCTAGCAAGTATGAGGCCTTGAGTTCAAACTCACTAATGAAAAAAAGAAAGAAAGTGTGTGACACAGTGGCTCACACCTGTAATCCTAGCTACTTCAGAGGCTGAGATCTGAAGATCAAGGTTTGAAGCCAGCCTGGGAAGAAAAGTGTATGAGACTCTTATTGTCAATTTTCCACCACCAAAAAAGCCAGAAGTAGATGCATGGTTCAAGTGGTAGAGCACTAGCCTTGAGCAGAAAAGCTCAGGGACAGTGCCCAGGTTCAGAGTTCAAGCCCCAGGATTGGTACACACACACACACACACACACACACACACACACGAAATAGAAAATATCTTCTAACCAGATGACAGGAGGAGAAGCAATTTTACCAAATTCCTAGTTTCACATTGTGACGACAACAACAGAGAACTAAATTTTGTTTTGCACTTTTTTTTTTTAATCAGTCCTGGGGCTTGAACTCAGGGCCTGGGCACTGTCCCTGAGCCTGTTTATGTTCAAGGCTAGTACTCTATCACTTGAGCCACGGCACCACTTTCAGAATACTGTAGTTTATTAGAGATAACAGTCTCATGGACTTCTCTGCCTGGGCTGGTTTTGAGCTGAGATCTCAGACTCCTGAGTAGCTAGGATTCAGGTGTGAGCCACCAGCGCCCAGGTTTCTTTGGGCTTTTTTTTTTTTTTTACCAACCCAGACTACAAGGAAATGCAGAGAGGTTATCAGATGTTCACTGACTGGATAAAAGAGGAAATATACCAGTTTTTCGAGATGAACATACTT